TTATTCATTGGCTATTCGAAAAGTTCTAAAGGAATAAGTATTATAGCTCTAACCATAGTACGGGAATAGTTGATTCCGACAATGCTCGATTCATTATAATTGATCAAATCAGTGGAAGTTTGAAACCGCAAAGTTTGGATGTCAGAGAAACTCAGGTTGAACAGTCCAAATCCGAGAGTCCATTAATGGTTGTTATTGTTCTAGTTACATTACCGTCATGTAACTTAGATTAATAACAATGATTCAAACTCACTTGATAATGAATCGGTCATAAGCTATCAAGAAATTATAGAACAACCTTTGGTTGATGAATCACAAGCCATGAAAAGTAAAAATTCTGATAAAGTTTATCAATGTCATGAAAGAATAATTAGAGTCAATGGATGACAATAAGGTTTGAAATTTAGTTGAATTACCTGAATGGTCTGAAAGAGTTGGGTGTAAAAGGGTTTTTTGAAACCAAACACGACTCTAAAGGTAATATCGAAAGATATAAAGTTAGACTTGTTTCTAAATGTTACACCCAAAAGTAAGGCATTGACTACAAGGAAACATTCTCAACAGTTTCAAGAAAGATTCCATGAGAAGTGTAATGGTAATGGTGGCTCTGTATGATTTTGAGCTTTACCAAATGGACATAATGATCACCTTCTAAATGATAAACTTAAAAGGGATCTACATGAACTAATTAAAAGTTTTTGAGATCACAAGAAATGAAATGTTAGTGTGTAAGTTGAATATATCGATATATTGACTAAACTAAGTCCCTCGTCAATGGTATCTTAAGTTTATTGATATCATCACTGCTTATGATTTTTCAGAGAATACCGTAGATTGATATATCTACATTAAGGTCAGTGTGAGTAGATTGGTTATTTTAGTTCCATATGTCGATGACATATTTATAGTTGCTAATAATATGGACATGTTGCACAAAGTAAATTAATATCTCTCAGAAGTTTATGAAATAAAGAATATGGCTGAAACGTCTTTGGTAAATAGAATAATAATATCCCAGAATAGATCACAAGGACTAAAATATTATCCCATAAAAGTTAGAATTCGAGAGTTTTGGAGATAATTAGAATGGATGGTTGTTTCGTATAATTCTAATTCATAAGAGGAACACATTTAGTCTAAACTAAATGTCCAAAAAGTGAAATGGAATGAAAAGTGATGGAGAAATTCCTTAGATATAAATGATTAGAAGTCTTAAAGAAGACGAACCTGTACTAGGTTTGATAACATATTTGTTGTTGGTACGTTAAACAAATATAATAGTAATCCCTGAATGATTATTTAAATGATGCAATAAAATTTTTAAGATATTTACAAGGCATTAAAGAACACATGCTAACGTAAAGAAGATCCAAATTATTTGTTAAAGGAGCAAGATTATGGAAAAGTGGAACAAAGTCCATCATCGTGACTTTCACGATTAAGTTTGAGTTTGTGGTAAGCTTTGAGGCCATAAGTCAAAATTTAAGGCTACGATGCTTTATCTTCGGACTTGGAAATGTCGACATCTTGTCCAAGCCGCTAAGAAATAAACGTAGTTTTGTAGCAATAATATTTCAAGGAATGACAAGTACTTAAAGTGTGTGAATCACATAAAATCGAAACACTTGGTCGTAAAAGTAGAAGTGAAGAAATAAAGTGTTTTTGAGTATTTTGATACTAATTGCATGCAAGTGGATCCATTAAAGGGTTATTCCCTATAGCTTTTGCAAGGCATATAAAAAAAATTGAGAATAACGAATGGGGCCTTGTTGGACTGACCGGTACTGAATGAAATTGCTTAATTAATGGTTTTGACACTTATTGAATTCAATTAAAGATGTTTGATTCTTCACATATAATACCATCATTATGGATATTTGATTTTATAGTATATACATAAAAGTTGGATGGCTTATGGTTATGGTACGAATAGTTTGTTCCATATTAAAGTAAAGTTGAATTAGAAATGATTTGTGGTACATAGAAAGGATCATGTCGCTTGAAGACTTGTGACCGCCATGACCCAATTAATTTCTATTTTAATTTTAAACTTATAAATATATGTATTCAATTATAAGTTTGATGAAAGGTGCGTGATTAAAGTAGTTGTTTGGGTTTCAACGTTTATATGGTCCAGTTAGAGAATGTAATAATATTTTATATTATTCTATTATTGTAGACCATATAATTTGTTGTACCTAATTGAATTAATAGTCAAACTTAATAAAGGTGAATACGTATTTAATTGACTATTAATGTTCTAATATTAAAGAGTCCATTTTGTGATGTTTGACTTGTACAATAAGTTAGGTTAGAACATGGGGAATGTTAGTAGGATTAGGATTATAGGTCTCCTCCTATATATACTACATGCCCCTCTCTCTCGTCTCATACGAAAATAAAGTTTTCAACATCAAGGGCTTTATGAAAAGACGAGAGATGCGGTAGAGAGAGAGAATTCATAGGCAAAGACAATCCATCACTGGAGATTGAAGAAAGAGAATTGTAAATCAACATCAACTCATCATTGAGGATACCCATCATTGAGGATCATGAAAGAGGATCGTAAATCAACATTAGAGATGAAGAAAACAAGGAAGGACTATAAGCTGGATTCTTGTGAGTTTCTATGTGCAATTTAATTTATGCAAAGATCCATGTTCTATGAATTAATAGAATTACATGCTTAGGATTTCTTTAATTCCGACTAATAGTTGTGAATATACCCGTTAAATTCTTACATATTTTTCTCCACAAAGTAGTAATATCACATGAACAATGAATGTCATGTTACCATACTTCATCTTTGTGGGTTGTTTGATAATCTGGCTTCAAAGGTGTATCTATTGAAGTGCAGACCTTTAATAATTGTTAACCACAATTGCAAAATTTTTCACTGTGGATTGATCATATTTACAGAAAAACGAAGGCATCTGTTAACATTTTAAGGTGAACTTACTACAACAAACGCCCATCACAATTCACTTTGAATCTTGACAACTATCCAAACATGTTGGTCAAAATTTGTGAAACATAAACACATACTGACATAGTCAATCTATTTTCGAAAGATAATGAGGTTTTATGTAATACCACAAACCTCAGTGTTCTTTCTGCAACTAACCTTCATTTCGATGTGGTCTTCTGCTGCTGAAGTTGTTTCTTTCTTTTTTTATCCTTTTTCTTAATTTATCCTTAGTCTTTGAGCACTAAGAAAGAAGAGGCAAAAGATGAAAACTTGCTATGAGAACTCTTGAGGAAGAAAAGAAAATGTCAGGTACCAGACAGTCTCCTTGGACTGAATGAGCTTCTGGGCATAGGCACGTGCAACAAAAGTCTTACGACAACAACCCATTCGGTCATAGATCTGTTATGCATTCCGCATAAAAAAAACAGTCGATTTATAGTCTTTCTTAAGTAGTTCCAGGTTGTTCTTAGGTTCTTCCCCTTCAACAGCAACCAATCAAAAAGTTTTAGGCAGTCTACGAGTAGCTCCCCAATTCTATGTTTAATGGACAAGATTCTTATTGCATAGTTGGTTCAATGCTATTGAAATTTCTAGTATTACACATGTGAGTTGAATTTCTTTTCCTATGAAAACCGCTGAATGTTAATTCATGTTGCTGGTGCAGGTTTGTTTGTGCATAGTACATCCAGAAAGATGAAGAAATATTGGGATTATCCTAATTCATGCATGCCGAGCATTTTTGTATCTACATGCAAGTCGTAGCTATGAACATGAAAAAAGAGAGTTGTCTCCTAGTCTTATTTTGAGTTGAATTTTGTGGCCACAGTGGTTTTTTAAATGAAAAATAGGCAAAACATGTCCAATTTGTGATCACAATTTCCACCTTTAGAAACAAGATTCTAATGCGATGTAATTTTTTAGGTGCATTTTTTTTAGATGGATTGCGCAAATGAATAGACTAGTTTGAGTACAGCTTTTGAAGTTCATGTTCCACTCAAATTTGGACGATTTAAGAGAGTACTAAAAGAACACTTTTATTCAAATCAACCATAGAGCTTCTCGTTCTATCTGTAGGTTGTGGAATTTTAAAGCACGTTTCCATCTTGTTTCAAGATATACTACTACCCAGGGGTAGGATTGAACCTTCCGAATACACAAATGATTGTCATATTATTATTAGAGCTCCATATCTTGTTTTGTGAACACGCACGCTATCATTCCATGAGAATTCAAAGAAAAATACATTCTGCACCAAAAATGCTTCATCATCAACAATTTTGACAACTACAAACTTTTGAGAACTTTTTTTATGTAAATTTCTTAAACACAGAAACCAAACACCCTTGAACAGAACAGTTCATTTTCACAAAGTGACCTCTTGAGCAAGGCTTCACTAAAAAAAAATTGCAAGCCCCGAAAGATCGTCATGTATCGTTGGACACAATTGTTTTAGTTTTCACAACCTCTTCATGCTTCAAGATGCTTCAATTTAAAAGAATATTAATTTGATATATGTTGATAACAAATAGAAAAACTACTGAATTTTTAAATACAATCACAAATTAAACTAGTCAAATAGTAAATAATTTTAAAACTATTGACATATAAAATTTCATATATAACCATGTACCACTAAAATAGACAAATAAATACTAATGAAAATTTGATATATAATATTAACAACGCACCACAAATGAAAATTAGACTTTAAATTTGGCAAAAAAGCATATTTTCAGTAGGATAGAGAAATATTCATTCACTAGGCAACAAATAGAAATACCTGTCAATATAGCAAAACAACCAATGCAGCAAACCAATCATACCTACCAATGCATAAAAAATAACCCTAAGCTAAAAGAATACAAGAACACTTTTGAATATTTTACAGTTATAACTTTTTTTTTTTCAGTAAATCAGATTAATCAAGATGAGAGTTCTCCACATAAACCTGAAAATCTACGACTTGGACAGCAAAATCCTAAGGGAAAAAGAAGATGATTGTATCAAGTTGGATGAATGCACATGAACTTGTCTAGTATATTAAGCTTGAGAAAGAAGACGTCAGCATGTAGGGCACGTTGGATAAGGGTCCTCGTTGGCATGCCAGCTCGTGAATGTCCTTAACAATGTCGAAAACCGCATTCGGTTGTGCAAGCTTGAGAGCATTCTCGGACATTCTCTTGCGTTCGTCTGTCTTGCTACTAAACCACTCGGCCACAATTCTTGCTGTCTCCTTCGGGCTTCTCGTGAAAACACCCGCCCCATTCTCCACAACATACGGAACATTCCCTTTTTCCTGATAATAATGCATTAAAGTTGAGCAAAAACGAAAATTACATAATAGTATCACAAAATAAATCGGTCTTTTATATATATATATATATGTAGATTCACTTGCTTGGCCAGGAATGTAATCGTTGAGAATAATCGGAAGGCCTCTTATTAATGCCTCAGCAATCGTACCCGGTCCCGCCTAACATTTACACCCAAAAAAGTTGGTTAATAAGTGAGAAAGCCTGTCCTACTTTTGAGCAAATATAGAAACAAAGACAAACTGAAAAATAGCTCATACTTTGGTAATGATGCAATCACAAGCACCCATCCATTTCTCCATCTGCTTCTCAAATCCCCTTATCTGTATATTCAAGAACAATAAAGCATTACTGTCAGCCCAAAAATGGAAAAAATAAATAAATAAATAAAAAATAAAGTGATTCTCAGCTCCAACTCATAAAGTGTTCACCTTGACTGGTATTTTCCAATCGAGAGACTGTAATGTGGTGGCTAAGGACTGATTGCGACCACAGATAATGACGAGTTGACCGATGGGCTTGTCGAGCTCCTTATCAAACAGGGACTCTCCGAGAGCCTTTGCCGTTTTCTTCACGGGTCCCATTCCTTCTCCTCCTCCCATTAGTAGGACAGCCGGCAATTGTGGATCCATCTCAAGTTCTAACCTTAAATCATCCTACACCCGAGAAGTAAAAAAAACATGTCATTTAAAAAAAAAACTGCATAGTTTCTTTATTTATCTTAAAAATATTTAGTAGCATAACAGATAATATTACACATATATAATTAACCACCTTGACTAATACTGCACGGCAGAAGGATGGGCGTATGGGGAGGCCAAAGATACGAATTTGAGAGTCCTCAACACCGTCTAGCAAAGCCCTCTTTGCAACCTCCTCCGAGGGACAGTACAATCGGTTCACAGATGGATGAAACCTTAAAGTAAACAAATTAATTATCTAGTTTAAACATGTCAGAAGTGTTTCGGGTGAAGATGATGATGCGTTTTTGTTACCATGTGCGGTGGCAAGTATTGAGGTCGGTGATGACTGTGACGAAAATGACCTTCTTCTGAAGGCCTTGCCATTTGAGGACCCACAATGGGATGTGCTGCATGAGCGGGTGGACGCTGATTATGATATCCGGTTTGTACTCCATTAGACCTGCCTCCACCTCCCTTTAACACAACAACAAAAAAAATTGATTTAATCTAGAATTCAAAATATGAAGCAATAGGAAAAGAAGCAACGCATACTTTGCATAAAAGGCGGCAATTGCAGCAAGATAGAGAGAGTGTATCCATTTAGGGGATGTGCCGTGAAACGCAACTTTCCAAAGCTGGACGTGCTTAACCATGAATTTGTACTGTCCCTCCATGTCATTCAACGGCCAACCCGTGTACTCCTTCCACACATCTTTCACAATTATCTGCACAATATTAAAGTTTTACTCCAAAAAAGAAAAATCTACCTCTCCACTGCAGTAATGAAGACAAAATTACCACAGTCCTCATGCTCATCAATCAATACAGTGAAAATATATATATATATAAATTTTTTTTGTATACTCTTTGGAATCCAGAGAGAATTCTAATTACCAAAAAAACATTAAAAAGTATGTTGAGGACAAGTAAACTCTGAGCTGTAAAATAACAACCTAACATCCATGTGTTCCCACATGGAATAATAATACAAAAAACGAGTAAAGCTTACTCTGTATTGATCTCCATATTCGAGCTGGAATGCGTCCCGAATGGCCTCGGCCGAAGCGCGGTGGCCCCCACCCGTATCGCTCATGAGAATGAGGACGTTTTTTGTCGTCTCAGCCCCAATCTGCTCCATCTCCATCGTTCCATCTTCATCGTCCTCCTCAATGCCGTATCTCTGGTTTCCCCCAACTCTTTCAAACACCTTGTTTAGAGATACTATTGCCGGCATGTCTACAATATACAATTCACCAACATAAACTCAATTGATATGGGAGCTTCTGCAAAAACAATGGCAATTTTTCTCAAATGTCATAACTTAGAAACAAACAAAGATAAAAACGAAAACAAAAAAAAAAAAAAAAAAAAAAAAAAAAAAAAAAAAAAAAAAAAAAAAAAATATAAAGGATTTTTACATTGGAAAACAAATTAGAGGCCGAGCTAGCAGAAGCTTAAAGAATAGGAATTCTCGAGAAAAAAAAAAGTATATTACAATAAATATCAACAGAACAACCTCAAAACAACCTTCGAAACAACCTTCGAAACATGGGAAAATCGAAGCGATTGTCAACGTTTTGAAGGAAAGAAAATGAATGATTTGAAGCTTAAGTAAAAGAGAAAGGATACGCATACACACAGATATGTCCTCTGTACCTTAATGAAGACGAAAGGAAATCACAGGACAAATCAAACAGATTATGTTTGTTTGAGAGAGAGAATATGAAAGGGAGCAGAGAAATTGAAGGTGGGCGGGCGGTATGAAATGAAATGCCGAATAAATTGTTTTCACGCTCGAATGGTATTGGTGCCACTGCTAGAGAATATTCTTTCCAGCTCGGATGATCGCAGCCGTTGGATTGGGCAGCTGTTGTTGCGGAATGTTCTGAGGACAGATTCGAATATTTGAGCTCAAAGCTATGGCCTGATATTGATATATATGGGGTCCATTGTATTATATTTATATATTACTATTATGATTTCAATTTACTAGTGCAAAAATGTTATATTTTTATATAATATAATGGTGAGGTCAATCTGTGATTATGATATTGATACGTGGTCAATTGACATATCTACTATTATAATTATGATTTATTACCAAAAAAATACAATTTAATAATTTTGTTACAGAAATCAATAATTGAAGAAAATTTTTTACATTTCGAGAAAATATTCGTGATATATTTACTTTTGCAAAAATTAAATTTCTATAAATGAAAATAAATTATTAAAATCAGTCATTTTACAAACATATAAATTTGGTTGAGGAATTCAAATGGTTAAAAAAATCATCACATGCTTCAGTCTTAACTAGGAATAATTATCTTTATTATATAACTACTTGTAACCCGTGTATTTGATGGAAAACTATATGATTAATAAAAAATAATAATAAATCTAAACAATAGTAAAAATCATAACATAACTATTGAAAAAAAAATGTTTTAAGAAAGAAAATCTAAGTATTATTAAGCACTCTTTATATGCTACGTTCGTGGATTTTTTATCATTAGAATATCCATCACCACAAGTCATTATCTTTCATACCACTCCGACTTGTAACTATGAAAAGTGCCATGAAAAAATATCCATGGCTAAATACATGGCTCTTCAGTGGTAAGTCGATGTGCGGCAAAGACTGCCCTTGACTCTTATTGATTGTCATAATATAGGAAATCATGTGCGGGAACAACATGCGCTGAAACTTCAAATGTACCCTTAAATCGAATGGTATGACTGTGAGCCTATGAATAAGAATAAGAACCTTATTACCAGCTCTGGCGCCGGTTAAAATTTTACATTCGAGGACATGACTACTGATCTTAGTAATAACCAATCGAGCAGCTTTTGATCTCAAAATTCGAATAACAAAAACATATCAATCGAATTTGTATACGAAACAAAGCAAATATAAATGATAGATAGAATTTTATCAAAACGGTTGCACACATGGAGTGATCCATGATTCTCAGCAACATCACTGGAGTGACGACCTTCAAGTACAATTTATGAAGCCCCGAGCAGTTAATCCCATTAAGAAATTCAGGAGTATGAAGATCGTGAAGATAGTCAAATCCAGCATCTGACTTGCAAGTGGTGTCCTAACTCAAATAAGTCATTCCTTTGGAGGAGTTCAGTGGTCTCATGTATTCGTTAACGGACTCAACGACATCAAGTGTCGGAGCGAGTATGGCTCTTTCCTTGAAATAGCTAAGATCGTCTCCGAACTCCTGAAACATATTCTGATTTGAAAAGAATATCGGGGAATATCAATATCGGCACAGTCATCATTCGATCCACCGATTATACAATCGTCAATGCTTGCAAGCCACTCCGAGAAGCGCCTGGGCTCACCGTACTCGTCACTCCCACCAAGGCTTTGAAACCTCATATACCAAGTAAGCCTCAAAACGATACAATTCCGCCACAAATTGTCAATTGATAGTGGCATTCATGATATCACTCTGAGTGCTTTTTGGGACAACGTGAAGTATCTATCTGAAACCGCCACCAAATACAATAGACTTACCACCAAATGAGAGATTTTTTTCTTGATGGATCCACTATTTCCGTTAAAGCTCGCAAGGTATTCTCGACCTCCTGGAAGCAATACCTACTTATCATTGGTGCTTCATCCCAAATGATCAACCGAAACCACAAATCAATTCCACCAAAGGACTTTGCTTGCTAATATCACACGAAGAACGTTTCATTGGGTTTAGGGTGATTCTGAATTGAGAATGCGCAGTCGTCTGCTAGGAAGCAAATGTGGAGCGATACCACTGGATGCAACATGCAACACATTACTCCGATTATGCATCTCTTTCAAACCGCGAACTATATCTCATCAAGATTATTTCGGTCTGCACCTTTCGTGGAAAAAATAACAAAGAATATAATTAAATTAATAAATTAAGTTCTCAACAAAAAATAAAGAAATAAAAAAATAAACTTCAAACAGAAGATTAAATGATAGAATTAAATATACCTCGCAGAAGAGAATATGTTTGCAACTTCATTCCCTGTGTCATAGATGTACAATTGAGAGAATTTGGGAGAAGAGCCATAGGTTGGTAGCAAACTAGTAAATGGTAGTTCTTACCATGCATACGGAACACAGACAGTCTGTTGCCCTTGTTTATATCCGTGTAAATTGTTCAATTCATGGACGTAAAATAGAACATGTTATATGAACGAATGTTCTCTTGAAAGTGTGTCCTTCAAGGACTAGTCTCAAATATTAGCTCAGGTAGAAAGTCGGGAAGAATACAGAGTTTTTTAAGTTGAATTTTTGCAAGGCTGGAACAACCAGAATACTTTGAGACCCTAGAATTGATATGCTTCTCAAGACACTCAGCATATGAAAACAATTTTTATAGGCCAATCACACATTTTTTTTTCTAAAGCCCAATTTTATTTTAGCATTTAGCCCAATTCAAAATAATTTAGCCCAACAAATGTTTTTTTTTTTTTAATTATTTATTTAAGATGGACAAATTTTTAAAAGCCGATATTAAAATGGCCCGGAATATATAATTGGACTGAAAGAGTTTTAAATTTAGCCCAATAAACAATTGAAACAAAACTAACACAACTTGTATGATGGACCCAAATAAATGTGTAAGGCTTATATCAGTTTGGATTAAATCCGCCAGAAATGCAACTTGGCCTTATTCTTATTTTTTTTATTACTTGACAAAGTGTGGATTGTTGTGGAAGGTTCATGAAGTTGGGATACAAATTTTTTAGGGTTTGATATTCGAAACTGAGATTAGATCTAGACTTTTTCGATTCGATTTTATTTTACCAATTTAAAACGAATAGGAAATTGGTGAAATTGGTCGAAACATCTCGTATTAAATGTTGAATTTTCATTTTTTTTATATGTTACATATTTTTTGTCACCGATTTCTATATCGGCATATTTGATTTACAATTTTTTTTATTTTACTTTTATATTTTTGATTTACATGAAACACGAATCTATTCATTAAAGTGTACATATTGTTCTATAGAATTTTGTTTTCAAAGTATTAGGTTGGATTTTTGAATAAACTCACTTGAATATAAACAAATACAAAATTTAAGTTTGATTTTTAATTTAATGAAATCGAAAACAAATTACTTTTTCTTTCATTTATCACCAGTTCATAACAGGTCTGGTGTTGGTTTTTTTTTTTTTTTGGAATATTTATTAATTTTGGCATTTAAAAACTCAAATTAGAGAAATTAATCATTATTGTAATTTTAGAAATCATGTTATTTTTATTGTAATATTGTTAAATTATTTAGTTGTTGAAAATATTGGTAGTAATATTGTGAAATCTCTAATATTAATTTCATCTTTTGCATGATTTCACCATGAGAATGAAGGTTTATTCTTATTTGGAAGCTTTTCTGATTTATTAAGAATGAAGATTTATTCTTATTTGGAAGATTTACTGATTTATTGAATTTTTGTATCATGATATGTAAATTTTATTTTATTTGTTGTTAAGTTTATTATTTGTTTTTTAATATATAAAAAAAATTGAAAGTCAAAATGATATACATAATTATCTAAGTATATGTTATTGATAAATTAATAGTTCAAAATAAAGTTAAAACAATTGTCTTTGTAATTAAACATAACTAGTGTGGATACCCGTGCGATGCACGGAATGCGATAGAAAGAAATAATTTTTATTTAACTATTATAAAATTATTTAAGATATTATGAAATTCTATTCTCCACAATATCCTATATTAAGTAATATATGACATTTATTTATTTACTATTGTTGTTAATTTTTATTTTTATATATTCGTTTTTGTAGTTTTTGACTATTTAATATGTAATTTTGATTATTTATTAGTTTATAAAATATTATAAATGTATATGATCATATGATATTTGCATACAAATTACTTGTATGTACTGATAAAATTACCGTTTATCAAGTCTAATAATTTTTTCAATAATTCATAATTTGCGCATTGTTTGATGACTGACCAACGTTTAACCCATAATATTTATATACCGTTATTATTATTATATGCATTAAATGTTCAAAAGTTTGATAAATAAAATTTTAATTCTTAGTAACTTTAATCCTTATGCAACACAGAAATTTTTATGGTTAAATATTTTATTTTTATGTTTTCAATTTTATTTATATTTATTTCTCTAATTCATTTTTTCAACTATATAATGAGTTAAATAGTATCTATTTGAATATTTAGATATATTAT